GAGTCGACCATGACCACAGATTCACTTAGGCAAACACCGTCACCGCATAGTCACTGTGCTCTTCCCTGAAGGCAGAACTTGGAAAATGATATGCAAACTTTTAACATAGTTAATTCTTTTGGGGTTAATGCACACTGCTTGATTTAAGTGTCAAAGTGAAAACCAGCCATAAATAGAGACCTCAGAGCGATCTTTGAAATGTCATTCAAAAACCCGAGGAGTTACAGCAGCGCCGGCTGCTCTACTCATTCAGCACCTTGTACACCTGCTAGGAAAAAACCACATCAGCCCAAAGCTAGGCTTCTGCACAAGACAGGCCTCTGAGGGTGGAGGAGGCTAAATGTAGAGTCAGGCACAAACGTACTCCCTTCCCGCTGTAAAAGATACCAGCGGGAAGAACCAGACCCCGAGGTTAACTCCACACGAGCCGCACAGCCCAGGCTGGGTGCTCAGCGTGCTCTGCCGCGGCTCCCTGGGAAAACAGATGCAGAGACGCAGTTCCATGTCAGGTGCACAGCCCTGCCTTTCCCGTCGCGGCTCTGCCGGTCGCTGTCCCACACGCCTGGCCTGTCGCGCTGCAGTTCTGGCTCGGGCGCCGTGTCCTTGGAATGCCCGGAAGAGCGGGTTTCTGCGAGCGAGCTCGGGCTTGCTCTTTCCTCCTCGCCGGCTGTCAGGGCCTCTGCCTCTTCAGCCCAGCAGGCCTGCGGTCTGTGCCTGACCGAGCTGCGTGCCTGCCCTCGGGCCCTTTCACATCGCGGGACAAGGCCAGAGGGAGGGGCGGGCGCCCAGGGCAGGGGGTTCAGTGACTTCCTTGGGGGCCCAGGGCCCAGGGCAGCCCCGGGAACGGAAGCCCAAGCGTGCAGCCCCGACTGGAGCTGCTGCCTGCTCCTCGTGCCCTCCCTTCGCCCTGCACAGCCCCGAGCCCCGTCTGCACATCATCCACCGTCTGTCACCTGCCCCCGCCCGACCCCTGCACAGCCCTGAGCCCCCGTCTGCACGTCACCCACCGTCTGTCACCTGTCCCCGCCCGCCCCCTGCACACCCCTGAGCCCCCGTCTGCACATCACCCACCGTCTGTCACCTGCCCCGACCCCTGCACCGCCTCCACCTGGCACCTTCCAAAGATGGCTCTCTGCGGAGGGACAGGGGTCTGCGTTGGAGCCTGTTAGTGCAGCGCCAGGAGTGCTGGTGAAGCAGGCAAGGCGGTGCCGAGCGGTCCTCCCGGAAGCTTCTACTGGGGCAGGGGGACGTGTGGAGCGCGGTTACCTCCCCGGTTGGTGCGCTGCATGTGCACGTCCGGCCGGCATCTCTGGGCTTCCTGTCACGGGCTCAGAACACACCTGTGGGTGGTGGGGCTCAGCCGAAGTGAGCGCTGGGAGGCGGTTAGTCGGGAGGTAGGCGGGCGGGCTCGGGGCTGCTCTGGTGGGCTTCGCTCCGGCCCTTGCGGGATGCTGGCGTGTGAATGCTAACGTGCTCTTTCTGCTCTGTTCCCTCATGCCTGCCTGGACCCAGAGAGAGGTAACCACCAACCCCTCCCCCCTCCTCCCTTCCCGGTGCCTCCCTGGCACGTGTCTGCCCGCGCTCGCCTGCCTCCTTCATGCCGTCCTCATCCTCACCACAGGAAGGTGGGGCCGCGGGGAGGCGGGGCGGCGGGGCGGCGGGGCCGTGGGAAGGGCATCCTGATGTGAAAGGTATTCAAGCCCCAGCTGTGTGTTTCCGGTGCTCTGGGTGGCGGTGTGCTTGCTCGACTGCTTGGGGGCCGGACGCTCCACTGCTCTGTAGCTGTCCCTTAATTAAGAACTCCATTTTTGATGGAAGAAGGGAGTTCTGAGGTTTTTCTCCTTGAACGCATGACTGTGGTCACTGCAGGGCCCAGTGCAGAGGCAGAAGCAGCCCCCTCTCTGTGGCGGAGTCAGTCTCAGGGAGGCCCTGCCTGCCCGGGCGTGGGGACACGGCCCCGCCACTCGCTGCAGACCCGCTCCGGCTCCGACCACGGCACTGTGACCTCCCCCTTTTCCCGCTAGGATGAGCTGCTCCTGTCGCCCAGTGGCCGGAAGGGACAGAGACAGCTCAGCCCCGGTGGGTGACAATTCCAGGACGGGTCTTCCCGGGGCTGTGATGAGGGAAATTTGCAACCTCGCTCTGAGGAGACCTGGCACGGGCAGGTGGAAGAAGGTTCTGGAGGATGAGGGCTCCCTCCTCTGAGATAACCGCAAGCCGCCAGGTCCGTGGGGAGCTGTTCTCAGGTGTTTGCTGGCGCCTGCCCCGTGTCTGTTCTGGTCTCTGCGCTGGGAGGCGGCTGTGCTGAGCGTTGACAGCAAGACTCCACCCTAGAGAGGGCCGCACATCTGGCTTCCCAACCACCTTGATCACTGCAGGTGGGAGAATTTCCAATCTGCTGTTTACACGGTCTTTGTGTCCCACGGAAGCACCTGGTAGAGAATTCCCCGCCGAGAACGTGTGTTTATCCAGGTGACGAGCTGTGGGGATGCCCCTCTCAGAAGTAAGAGCTTAGCATCGTCTTAAGCTTGCAAAGGGGAAAGAAAGTTTAGCTCACCAAGCTAGAGCCTGAGCTTTGGGAAGTTAGTGGCGCTGTATATGGTAGATGCGACATTGGATTGAAAAAAAAGAGTGGTTTTTTTTTTGTATGTGGAACATTCTGGATTGGCCATCTAGAAAGATGAAACTTCTCATGTCCTGTCTGTCTTCCCTGTGCCGTCCACCCCCACACAAGGCTTTCAAAGCATAAGAAAATTAGAGTGTGTGATCTTGACAATAGGCTTTACACAACCTGTCAACAGCCCACATTTTGGTGGAGCTCAGAGCCCATAATTACACTATTTCCCACGTGGACCCACCTTCCTAATTCCATTTTGGACCCATGCTGGGCCTGGTGCAGGAGAAAGAGGCAAGAAAGCCTCTGTTACAGCGGTCCCCAACCTCTTTGGCACCAGGGAGGTTTTTATGGAAGACAATTTTTCCACAGACCGAGGAGGGGGGTGATGGTTTCAGGATGATTCAAGTGCATTACATTTATTGTGCGCTTCATTTCTATTATTATATTATAATATATAACGAAATAATCATATAACTCACCATAGGTTGGGAACCCCAGCTCTGTCATAAAGGGCTAGAAATGCAGTGTTTGATTCAGATCCTTTTGCTTCTATTTTGTCCTTATTTGCAGGAGGGACCTGCCCACTGTGACATAATACCTGGGGCACGGGTAGTTATAGTTTCAACAGAAAGATAAGCCAGGGGAAAGGATTGTAATTGGGTACGTTTTTGCTAGTCTCAGTATATTCATGTGAGTGCAAATATTAAAACGTTCCTTGTGGATAAAGAGACAGTATTTCAGAGCGGGCTTTTCTTTGACTTCTTGTTCCCCCTTTGCAGTAGTGACTGCCTTTTATTGAATGCCTGTCACGCACCTGTCTTCACAAATTCCCTGCATAAAGCATGCCGTGTGCTTGAGCTGCGCAGATATGCGTGATGGGAATGATGTCTCCAGGTTGGAGACTGGGTGAGGAATACCAACAGCGGGGACACATGGCAAGTGGGCGTGACAGAAAAGAGGGAGTGCTAGCGACATGGGCTCTCACGTGGCTGGCGGGCTCGCTCACTCTGTCCCTCTCCGGGAAGCAAGACGAGTTACAGGAGGGCAAGTTCATCATTTAGAAAAAATATGTATTTTGCTTCGCTGAGAATGTTCCACCAACAGAACAAGCTGATTCGCAGGACAATGAGACTTCCTGTCACTGAAACCCTTAGATGCCACCTGCTGGCACTGCTGTAAAAGGGGCTTTGAAGAGCGAGCCCACGTCACAGCTAAGAGGTCTGTACATGCCTCTTAAATTCTTTTTGAGGAGAGAGAAACACATTGCAAATTCCATTGACCCTAAGAGAGTTGCTGGGGAGAGATCTGGGGGAAAGGTGAACAGTTCTGTCTTGGCTGTTTTTCTTAATAGAACCCACTTGAACAAGAAGTCATTTATTTATTCATTCTGTAAGAAGGATTAGCCCCTACAGGATGATTATTAATAGAATGATGTGCAATTGGGAACAAGAAAAGCCATCTTTGGTCCTGTTTCTTTGCCATTAAGAAATCCGAGGCTGTCAGATAAGATGTCTTAGTGCTGATATTTTTCCCCGGCAGAACCAAGGCTGGTCCTCTGGGGGAATAATTACCGGGGAGAAGAGCAGAAGGACAGGAGCTGGAAACACAGGGCTCAGCAAACGAATGGCAAAAGGGAGTTGGTTCCTGTTAGAGTTTGAGGGAAAGACACGAGAAGCTACAGCTACAAACCTTCCACTTCCCGGTTTGTAGAAGAAAATGTGCCGATTCCCGTGACCGCAGGACCTCAGTGGGGTGAGACTGTGCGTGGGCGGACAGGCGGCTCCTCGCCCAGTGCTGCCAGTGCAGTTGCTGAGTAAAGGACAGAAACGGTTCTTGCTGCCAAGTGTCAAACAGGTGTCTAGAAGAATTTGCTGGAAAAACAGGGAGCCATGTTCTGACGGGACCTCGAGGATCGCGGGCCAGCCATGTGGCTTTACAGACGAGGTGCTAAGGCCCTACAGCACGAGAGGCCGTGTGAGGTGCACAGTCAGCAGGGCGTGTAGCAGCCTGTCCCCGAGATGGAACCTTCCAGCACTGTGGAGCCCAGGAGGGTTGCTAGTGGCTAGGAGAGCAGGGAGCCGTCTTGGGCTCCCCTTGTGGAGGCTCCTGAAAGGTCCCTGTGGTAGATAGGGACCACCGGTGGCAGGCCCTGCCTGGCTGGCCACAGGACATGCAGTGGCCACGTGGCTCCGGGGCTCTCTTCCCCCTGGACTTCTGGAGGCAGGCAGGGCTCGTCATGCCAGTCCCGGTTTTCACAGCCCATCAGGAACACTCCAGGTGTGGACATGTGTTTGCCGTAAAGCAATTTCTTGTCCCCCTCAGAGCACAGGAAAATCTCTAGAAAACATTGATCTGACATGTGGCCATAATGACTTTCAATACCGTGACACCAGACCCAGCGCGGTGGCTCACGCCTGTAATCCTAGCTCTCTGGGAGGCCGAGGTGGGCGGATCATTTGAGCTCAGGAGTTCGAAACCAGCCTGAGCAAGAGCGAGACCCCGTCTCTACTTTAAATAGAAAGAAATTAACTGGCCAACGTAATATATATAAAAACATTAGCCGCGCATGGTGACCCACATGCCGTAAGCCCAGCACTCGGACGGCGAGGCAGAGGAGTCACTGGAGCCCAGGGAGTTGGAGGCGCTGCGTGAGCGAGGCGACGCCACGGCACTCACTCTAGCCTGGGCAACAAAGTGGACGTCTCAAAAACAAAAAAAAATCACCGTGACGACGCTTGGTTTAGGAACCAGAGGCTCACCCTCGTGCCTTCTGCTTCTACACGCCTCATTCTGGAACTTTCCAAGCACAAAAGTCGAGAAGACAGGAAGTGAGCTGCATGGCCTATCACGGCTTCCACGACGACATGTGGCCGATCGTTTTTCTACACAGCTGGGTTTTTCCCCCAGTCAGTGTCACGGTATTTTTTTTTGGTTTTGAGACAGTCTCACTTTGTTGCCCAGGCTAGAGTGAGTGCCGTGGCGTCAGCCTCGCTCACAGCGACCTCCAACTCCTGGGCTCAAGTGATCCTTGCCTCAGCCTCGAGGCTGGGACTACAGCATGTGTCACCATGCCGCTAATTTTTCTATATATATTAGTTGGCCAGTTAATTTCTTTCTATTTAAAGTAGAGATGGGGTCTCGCTCTTGCTCAGGCTGGGTTCGAACTCCTGAGCTCTCAAATGATCCGCCCCACCTCGCTCCCAGAGAGCTAGGATACAGGCGTGAGCCACCGCGCTGAGTCTCGGGTGTCACGGTCATTGAAAGTCATAGGCCACTGGTCAGATCAATGTTTCTAGAGTGTT